GGTCTGTCAGGTAAACTTTCCTGTCATAATGACAAACAAATGTTTCTTTGTCACGCGACAATGAAACATTTATGTCCTTGTTTTTTGCATGTTTTTGTTAATGACTCTTTTTGTTGTCTTAATTTGTTGTCTTCATGGGACTTTTTTTTTTTAATTTGCGCGTCTTAAGAATGTTCACAGGACCTTATTACTCTTCTTAAGAATGTTCACAGGACCATATTACTCTTCTTAAGAATGTTCACAGGACCATATTACTCTTCTTAAGAATGTTCACAGGACAATATTACTCTTCTTAAGAATGTTCACAGGACCTTATTACTCTTCTTAAGAATGTTCACAGGACCTTGTTACTCTTCTTAAGAATGTTCACAGGACCTTATTACTCTTCTTAAGAATGTTCACAGGACCTTGTTACTCTTCTTAAGAATGTTCACAGGACCTTGTTACTCTTCTTAACAATGTTCACAGGACCTTGTTACTCTTCTTAACAATGTTCACAGGACCTTGTTACTCTTTCTAAGAATGTTCACAGGACCCTGGTTACTCTTCTTAAGAATGTTCACAGGACCTTGTTACTCTTCTTAAGAATGTTCACAGGACCTTGTTACTCTTCTTAAGAATGTTCACAGGACCTTGTTACTCTTCTTAAGAATGTTCACAGGACCTTATTACTCTTCTTAAGAATGTTCACAGGACCTTATTACTCTTCTTAAGAATGTTCACAGGACCTTGTTACTCTTCTTAAGAATGTTCACAGTGACCTTATTACTCTTCTTAAGAATGTTCACAGGACCTTGTTACTCTTCTAAGAATGTTCACAGGACCTTGTTACTCTTCTTAAGAATGTTCACAGGACCTTATTACTCTTCTTAAGAATGTTCACAGGACCTTATTACTCTTCTTAAGAATGTTCACAGGACCTTATTACTCTTCTTAAGAATGTTCACAGGACCTTATTACTCTTAAGAATGGTTCCTTGAAGTCTTCTCTTTTAATCAAACGAATTATTTTTGACGCAGAGAACAGAGAACAGGATCTGTTCTCCTGTTGTGGACGTGATTTCTTCTCGCATTAGTATTTTTTTTTGGAGGGGGGGGGGGGGCGTCTTAGTGTTGTGTGGTCGTCTAGCAGTGCTTGTTGGGCCGAGCTCTGCCTCCTGGTCCCCAAGCCTTGTTAATGTTATTTCAGAGACACGTTTCCAATGATGTTTTTATTATACTGGCGCTTAACATTATGTATTGTGATTGTATTAACGTTTTGATCATTTATTCTGTCTGTTGACGGGTTTGACACCGAAGTGCTTCCTGTCATCTGTCACTCGTGTGTGTGTGTGTGTGTGTGTGTGTGTGTGTGTGTGTGTGTGTGTGTGTGTGTGTGTGTGTGTGTGTGTGTGTGTGTGTTTCTTCTATGCTCCCTAGTTCTTCTGTTCCTATTTCTGAACAGTGGTTCTTTGTTTACATTGCCAGTTCCCTTTATAATCTTCGATGTCGTTATCATGTCCCCGCTAGTCTCTCTTCCAATAAGGTGACATAAGGTCTTTATGTCCTTGTCCTTGTTGCTCGGTCCCCTCAGCTCAGGAACAAACATCGTTTCATATCTTTGAACTATTTCTAGTGTAGAAATAGTTTTGAATTTTTTTGTCCTTTTCTCGTGCAAGAAGCTGTCTCTCCTTTTCATAACGCTGTACACGTCTTTACACTCGGGTTCCAGTCCTCATGACTTTGCATTTGGCTGTATTAAATTCTAACAGCCATTTATCAGGCCTCTTCAGGAGTTTTTCAAGATTCTTTGGCCAGGTTTGACGCCCTCTCTCGGTCCTCATTATTCTCTTCAGTTTTGCCTTGTCTGCAGTCAAGAGAGGTCCTCCCTCTCAGGCACAGAGGGGGACCCCCGGGTCATGGGAGACGGGGGACCCCCCCGGGTCATGGGAGAGGGGGGACCCCCCCGGGTCATGGGAGAGGGGGGACCCCCCCGGGTCATGGGAGAGGGGGGACCCCCCCGGGTCATGGGAGAGGGGGGACCCCCCCGGGTCGTGGGAGAGGGGGGACCCCCAGGTCGTGGGAGAGGGGGGACCCCCAGGTCGTGGGAGAGGGGGGACCCCCAGGTCGTGGGAGAGGGGGGACCCCCAGGTCGTGGGAGAGGGGGGACCCCCAGGTCGTGGGAGAGGGGGGACCCCCAGGTCGTGGGAGAGGGGACACCCCCAGGTCGTGGGAGAGGGGACACCCCCAGGTCGTGGGAGAGGGGACACCCCCAGGTCGTGGGAGAGGGGACACCCCCAGGTCGTGGGAGAGGGGACACCCCCAGGTCGTGGGAGAGGGGACACCCCCAGGTCGTGGGAGAGGGGACACCCCCAGGTCGTGGGAGAGGGGACACCCCCAGGTCGTGGGAGAGGGGACACCCCCAGGTCGTGGGAGAGGGACACCCCCAGGTCGTGGGAGAGGGGACACCCCCAGGTCGTGGGAGAGGGGACACCCCCAGGTCGTGGGAGAGGGGACACCCCCAGGTCGTGGGAGAGGGGACACCCCCAGGTCGTGGGAGAGGGGACACCCCCAGGTCGTGGGAGAGGGGACACCCCCAGGTCGTGGGAGAGGGGACACCCCCAGGTCGTGGGAGAGGGGACACCCCCAGGTCGTGGGAGAGGGGACACCCCCAGGTCGTGGGAGAGGGGACACCCCCAGGTCGTGGGAGAGGGGACACCCCCAGGTCGTGGGAGAGGGGACACCCCCAGGTCGTGGGAGAGGGGACACCCCCAGGTCGTGGGAGAGGGGACACCCCCAGGTCGTGGGAGAGGGGACACCCCCAGGTCGTGGGAGAGGGGACACCCCCAGGTCGTGGGAGAGGGGACACCCCCAGGTCGTGGGAGAGGGGACACCCCCAGGTCGTGGGAGAGGGGACACCCCCAGGTCGTGGGAGAGGGGACACCCCCAGGTCGTGGGAGAGGGGACACCCCCAGGTCGTGGGAGAGGGGACACCCCCAGGTCGTGGGAGAGGGGACACCCCCAGGTCGTGGGAGAGGGGACACCCCCAGGTCGTGGGAGAGGGGACACCCCCAGGTCGTGGGAGAGGGGACACCCCAGGTCGTGGGAGAGGGGACACCCCCAGGTCGTGGGAGAGGGGACACCCCCAGGTCGTGGGAGAGGGGACACCCCCAGGTCGTGGGAGAGGGGACACCCCCAGGTCGTGGGAGAGGGGACACCCCCAGGTCGTGGGAGAGGGGACACCCCCAGGTCGTGGGAGAGGGGGCACCCCCAGGTCGTGGGAGAGGGGGCACCCCCAGGTCGTGGGAGAGGGGGCACCCCCAGGTCGTGGGAGAGGGGGCACCCCCAGGTCGTGGGAGAGGGGGCACCCCCAGGTCGTGGGAGAGGGGGCACCCCCAGGTCGTGGGAGAGGGGGCACCCCCAGGTCGTGGGAGAGGGGGCACCCCCAGGTCGTGGGAGAGGGGGCACCCCCAGGTCGTGGGAGAGGGGGCACCCCCAGGTCGTGGGAGAGGGGGCACCCCCAGGTCGTGGGAGAGGGGGCACCCCCAGGTCGTGGGAGAGGGGGCACCCCCAGGTCGTGGGAGAGGGGGCACCCCCAGGTCGTGGGAGAGGGGGCACCCCCAGGTCGTGGGAGAGGGGGCACCCCCAGGTCGTGGGAGAGGGGGCACCCCCAGGTCGTGGGAGAGGGGGCACCCCCAGGTCGTGGGAGAGGGGGCACCCCCAGGTCGTGGGAGAGGGGGCACCCCCAGGTCGTGGGAGAGGGGGCACCCCCAGGTCGTGGGAGAGGGGGCACCCCCAGGTCGTGGGAGAGGGGGCACCCCCAGGTCGTGGGAGAGGGGGGACCCCCAGGTCGTGGGAGAGGGGGGACCCCCAGGTCGTGGGAGAGGGGGGACCCCCAGGTCGTGGGAGAGGGGGGACCCCCATGTCGTGGGAGAGGGGGGACCCCCAGGTCGTGGGAGAGGGGGGACCCCCAGGTCGTGGGAGAGGGGGGACCCCCAGGTCGTGGGAGAGGGGACACCGGAGCCAGGCTGGACAATCTACCCTCTCCGCCCTCACGGAACCGAAGCCTCGACCCCTCACGCGAAGCCCTTGAAGCCCCAGCAGGTCGCCTGGAACGTCTGCAGAAGCCCTACCCACCCACACACACACACACACACACACACACACACACACACACACACACACACACACACACACACACACACACACACACACACACACACACACAGGTATTGATCAGTAGCCACCCAATCCGTACACCACCACCACTACTACCCCCCATACTAACAATCCCCCTCCCTCCCTCCCACCTCTCCCACTGCCCTTCCCTTAAACACTTACCCCTCCCTCACCCCCCTCCCTCCCTTATAGACTCGCCGAACAAAAATATTACAACTAACAAGAAAATAATGAGCTGAAAAGAAGCGAGTCGCGGCGGGTGTTTAGGAATATCGATGCTTCCTTGGTGCTCCCAGCGAGCCAGAGGTCCCATCACCCACACACTCAGGGCGTGAGGGTCCCACGATAGCTTCCCGGTCTAGATTCCTGCACTAGGGGTCACTAATATCTCTGGTCCCAGTGGGTTGACTGGTCTCTATACTGTGTGTGTGGTGGTCCCAGTGGGTTGGCTGGTCTCTCTACTGTGTGTGTGGTGGTCCCAGTGGGTTGGCTGGTCTCTCTACTGTGTGTGTGGTGGTCCCAGTGGGTTGGCTGGTGTCTATACTGTGTGTGTGGTGGTCCCAGTGGGTTGGCTGGTCTCTATACTGTGTGTGTGGTGGTCCCAGTGGGTTGGCTGGTCTCTATACTGTGTGTGTGGTGGTCCCAGTGGGTTGACTGGTCTCTATACTGTGGGGTGGTGGTCCCAGTGGGTTGACTGGTATTCTGTCCACTCACGGGGGTCAGTGACAGGTAGACTGCAGCTCTCGTCAGGGCCTCAGGGAGTGTCAGGGTGACAGGCAGGAGCACAACCTCTCATCTCGCCAGGTAGTGAAGGTGCAGGTGAGCTTCTGAGGCAATCAGCAGGAGACTGTCTCAGCTAGTCAGCGGGACCAGGAGACTGTCTCAGCTAGTCAGCGGGACCAGGAGACTGTCTCAGCTAGTCAGCGGGACCAGGAGACTGTCTCAGCTAGTCAGCGGGACCAGGAGACTGTCTCAGCTAGTCAGCGGGACCAGGAGACTGTCTCAGCTAGTCAGCGGGACCAGGAGACTGTCTCAGCTAGTCAGCGGGACCAGGAGACTGTCTCAGCTAGTCAGCGGGACCAGGAGACTGTCTCAGCTAGTCAGCGGGACCAGGAGACTGCTAGTCAGCGGGACCAGGAGACTGTCTCAGCTAGTCAGCGGGACCAGGAGACTGTCTCAGCTAGTCAGCGGGACCAGGAGACTGTCTCAGCTAGTCAGCGGGACCAGGAGACTGTCTCAGCTAGTCAGCGGGACCAGGAGACTGTCTCAGCTAGTCAGCGGGACCAGGAGACTGTCTCAGCTAGTCAGCGGGACCAGGAGACTGTCTCAGCTAGTCAGCGGGACCAGGAGACTGTCTCAGCTAGTCAGCGGGACCAGGAGACTGTCTCAGCTAGTCAGCGGGACCAGGAGACTGTCTCAGCTAGTCAGCGGGACCAGGAGACTGTCTCAGCTAGTCAGCGGGACCAGGAGACTGTCTCAGCTAGTCAGCGGGACCAAGAGACTGGCTCAGCGGGACCAGGAGACTGGCTCAGCGGGACCAGGAGACTGTCTCAGCTAGTCAGCGGGACCAGGAGACTGTCTCAGCTAGTCAGCGGGAACACAGTCAAGAGAAAATACAATAGCAGGCAAGACAAGCTTCCCCGAGTCGAGATTCGGTGTCGCGCGACCAAAGAGAGAGGAGGAGGAGGAGGAGGAGGAAGCAGGAAGAGGAAGAAGCAGGAAGAGGAAGTGGGTGATAAACGGGAAGTACAGGAAGAGGCGTAGGGAAGGCGGAAGGTGCGGCCGAGGGAAGAAGGGAGAGAGAGAGAGAGAGAGAGAGAGAGAGAGACGAGGAAGGAAGTGTTGGTTGGGCGATTGAGATTAAATATCATCGTGATGGGGATTTGTGTGGGAGCGCCTCCCTCATAACTCATGCTTCCGGGAGTGGGAGGCTTGTTGACCTCATCCTCCCTCCCCCCCCCCTTCCCCTCTCCATCCTACAACCCCTCACCCCCCTTGCCTCACCCCCCTTCTCTCTCTCCCCTATCTCCTACCAACTCTCACCCCTTCTCTAATACTCCCCTACATCACGCATTTTACCCAACCGGGGGCTAGAAAAGCGGAATCCAAGAGCCACAGCTCGATCCTGTGATCAGAGTCTGCCTCCAACACATCGTAATGCATGTCAAATGTTAACTTGCTCTGACACTGAAATTATTCTTTCTGATGTCTCTGTGGGTCTTTTGGATACTATAGTGTCAACTGGTTCTCACCTAGTTGTGCTTGAGGGGGTTGAGCTCTGGCTCTTTGGTCTCGCCTCTCAACTGTCAATCAACTGGTGTACAGGTTCCTGAGCCTACTGGGCTCTATCATATCTACACTTGAAACTGTGTATGGAGTCAGCCTCCACCACATCACTGCCTAATGCATTCCATTTGTTAATTACTCTGACACTGAAAAAGTTCTTTCTAACGTCCCTGTGAGTGTGTGTGTGTGTGTGTGTGTGTGTGTGTGTGTGTGTGTGTGTGTGTGTGTACTTACCTAATTGTGTTTGCGGGGGTTGAGCTCTGGCTCTTTGGTCCCGCCTCTCAACTGTCAATCCACTGAATGTGTGTGTGTTCTTTACTACGCCTGGCTCCATTTCTGATTGAAGACGACCGCTCTCTCTGTGTTCCTGAGCTTTTGAGTTGATGAGAGTGGAGCGTGCAGGGGGGGGGGGGTGCACAGACCCAGCCATAGCCCACGGTACAGAGGACATAGAGAAACACAGCGGCAACTAGGTTAAAAACTTACAAAATATATATACAATCACACGCAGGTTTAAGACAGCTGACCAATACACCCCCAATACAATGCAGGGCTTCGAAAGTAACATAACACCTTACCAAAGCAATATATACTCAGTATATGCTCAGTACTCGGTATACTCAGTATCCTGAGTATACCATTCCTAACAATTAAGAATTAACATAATAATACATAAATCATACTTCTTCCCCCCCTCCCCAATGGTGGGAAGTTGTCACCCATGCAGCCTGTACTCACCGAGCCCAAGAGCTTGCTCCCGGTCCAGCTATGGAGTCTTCTACTTAACGCGTGGAGGCTCAGACGCTAGCTTCCCCCCCCCCTCTGTATTATGGCCATTGACAAGTATCGCCAGGTCTTGGAACGAGTCTAGGCAGGGTAATTAGTCTAACTGGTCAATTACCACCACCTCCTTGTTTAGGAATGACCTGGGTAAATACTGGTTGGGGGGGGGGGGGGAACAAGGTTGTTGGAATGGTAGAACCACTTGCCGGGCAAAATAATGGACATGTGATTGTTTCAAGCGTAGGTTAGACATATGAGTGAGTTTGGGTGGTAGTAAATAGGAGCTGCCTTGTATAGGCCTTCTCATAGGCCCTTTAAGCATATACTAAACTTAGCATAATCCACATAGTGATATTTACGTATAAACATAGACCACACCTGCCAGGGACGGCAGCCTCCCCCCCTCTAGACCACACCTGCTAGGGTCGGCAGCCTCCCCCCCCCTAGACCACACCTGCCAAGGTCGGCAGCCTCCTCCCCCTAGACCACACCTGCCTGGGTCGACAGCCTCCTCCCCCTAGACCACACCTGCAATGGACGGCAGCCTCCTTCCCCCTAGACCATACCTGCCAGGGTCGGTAGCCTCCCCCCCCCCTAGACCACACCTGCCAGGGAGGGCAGCCTCCTCCCCTAGACCACACCTGCCAGGGTCGGCAGTCTCCTCCCCTAGACCACACCTGCCAGGGACGGCAGCCTCCTCCCCTAGACCACACCTGCCAGGGACGGCAGCCTCCCCCCCCTAGACCACACCTGCCAGGGACGGCAGCCTCCCCCCATAGACCACACCTGCCAGAGACGGCAGCCTCCCCCCCCTAGACCACACCTGCCAGGGACGGCAGCCTCCCCCCCCTAGACCACACCTGCCAGGGACGGCAGCCTCCCCCCCCCCAGACCAAACCTGCCAGGGACGGCAGCCTCCTCCCCTAGACCACACCTGCAAGGGACGGCAGCCTCCCCCCCCCTAGACCACACCTGCCAGGGACCACACCTGCCAGGGACCACACCTGCCAGGGCTGGCAGACAGTCAAGAGCTTCCCCTCCACATAGCTGACGGCACAAAACATTAGTGGTACATTGTGATGTCAAATCTCAATTATATCGAGGTAGCCGCTATTGACAGATGACCTGGATAAGGTGAAGAACCTGTCAGAAAGGAACCTAAAAGGGGACTTCAGATGGTGTACTCACTTATTTGTGCTTGCGGGGGTTCAGCTCTGGCTCTTTGGTCCCGCCTCTCAACTGTCAATCAACTGGTGTACAGGTTCCTGAGCCTACTGGGCTGTATTATATCTATATTTGAAACTGTGTAATACCTCTAAACCTTCTCCAATTTAGTACTGTGCTTGATGAGATATGGACTCCATGCTGGAGCTGCATACTCCAGGATTAGTCTGACATATGTGGTATATTAGTCTGAATGATTCCTAACGCAAGTTTCTAAAGGTCATTGTTATGTTGGATAACATGATAACATCAGCGGCATATGCCGCTGATGTTATCCTCTTGATATGGGCTTCAGGGGACAGGTTTGGCGTGATATCAATCCCCATCTCTTTCTCACTCTCTGATTCTTGAAGAATTTTATGTCCCAAATGGTACTTTGTATCTGGCCTGTTGCTCCCTACACGTGTGTGTGTGTGTGTGTGTGTGTGTGTGTGTGTGTGTGTGTGTGTGTGTGTCAGAGAATGAGGACAGGAGCAGGGCACCCCACATGTGCAACGACCGGAAGTGAGTCAAGAGAAATCCCATCTGTATATAAAAAAAATCTGTCTTTCCGTCTGTCTGTCCCAAGTTGGAAGACAGACGCCTGGGGCTAGCCTCACGCAAATTAGCATGGGGGGGGGGAAGAGACCAGTAAGCGACACAAGGCACTTTAGTATCAGAAATCTGATCTGAGAAGATTGACACAGATCGTACACATCTCTCTCTCTCTCTCTCTCTCTCCCCCTCCCCCTCCCTCCCTCCCTCCCTCTCTCCCCCGTGGTCCCCGTGGGGTTCGTCACCAGCGGGAGCAGTTAGGCTAATGAATACCACCCTGCCCCCTGGGGGTCACTCGCGGTATTTACTGTGTAAATATTGCCTGGACAACTGCACTAGTCTGGTGTATGTGTGTGTGTTTATGTAAGTCCGGTCATTACGATAATGTGTGGGTGTGTGAGGCGTCAACATCATCCTGGAAACCATAACAGTACCCTTATTTACCTGTTGTTAAATCATGGGGGAATTGTATTGTAATAGAATTCATTGAATTATTAGCTTCTATTATTTTAGTTACTGTTATAAATATTATTTTTTGGATATATCTCTGTGTATTTGGATATATGTGTGTACTTACCTGTTTGTACTCACCTGTTTCTACTCGCCTATTTGTGCTTGCAGGGGGGTTGAGCTTTGGCTCTTTGGTCCCGCCTCTCAATTGTCAATTATACGTGTGTATGCCTGTGGGGGTTGTTAGTGTACTAAGAAGCACACGAATGAGCAAGTTTCTTGTGGGAGGGAGTTGTAGTGAAGGAGAGTGAGAGGGAAGGAGTAGGGAGGGAGGGAGGTGTGGATATTTGAGAGAGAGAGAGAGTTGTATGGGGACTCTAGGAGTGTATACAGCGAGGATAATCCTCTCTGTATACATATACATGTAGACCAGCCACGTATTTCCAGGTCGGAGAGAGTCTCAATGTGCCTCATTGATAAGGTTTATATATATATATATATATATATATATATATATATATATATATATATATATATATATATATATATATATATATATATATATATATAATATGAATAATATTGTATTCCATAAAATACATGATTTCGTTTCATTCCCACTGTAAGTCTATATATATTACATATATTTATATTAACTTATGGCATGGCCTTGGACAGGAATGACTGTGTATGTGTAGGTAAAGATGTACACCCAAGGCATACACCCCATTTTTTCTCGCACAGTGGTGCGCTCTCTCTCCATGTACTCGAATCGTAGCCCGTCCTCATCATCAAGGGTCAATTGCTCGTTAATCCAACCGCCAAATTCCCCCCTGTTTATGAAGACGACCATAATCTGGGGACGGGTTGGTGTCGACCACAGCTTGGACGACCATAGTCTGGGGATGGGTTGGTGTCGGCCACAGCTTGGACGACCATAGTCTGAGGACGGCTTGGTGTCGACCACAGCTTGGACGACCATAGTCTGAGGACGGGTTGGTGTCGACCACAGCTTGGACGACCATAGTCTGAGGACAGGTTGGTGTCGACCACAGCTTGGACGACCATAGTCTGAGGACAGGTTGGTGTCGACCACAGCTTGGACGACCATAGTCTGAGGACGGCTTGGTGTCGACCACAGCTTGGACGACCATAGTCTGAGGACAGGTTGGTGTCGACCACAGCTTGGACGACCATAGTCTGAGGACAGGTTGGTGTCGACCACAGCTTGGACGACCATAGTCTGAGGACAGGTTGGTGTCGGCCACAGCTTGGACGACCATAGTCTGAGGACGGCTTGGTGTCGACCACAGCTTGGACGACCATAGTCTGAGGACGGGCTGGGGTCGTCCTCAGCCCCTGGACGACCATAGTCTGAGGACGGGCTGGGGTCGTCCTCAGCCCCTGGACGACCATAGTCTGAGGACGGGCTGGGGTCGTCCTCAGCCCCTGGACGACCATAGTCTGAGGACGGGCTGGGGTCGTCC